GCTGTGAGGCCACGGTGCTAACCACTGATCCACCTGCAGCCCTCAAATAACTATCAGCCCAGTTTATTTCTGATTTCTTGAAGAGTGAAACTGAAACCAGCTTCAAGGCAACAAAACATTCACTGCAGCTGATAAACTGACTGTGAGACAGCTCACCTGTCTGAGGTGAGCAAATGTCCTCAGTGAGCTGCTGTTAGTGCATAAATGCAGCAGCTCTCTCTCTTTGGAGACACTTGAGGATCCTGCTGCTGTCTGATGCTGCAGGTTTGTAATAAACTGTGTGAGACAGTTCACCTGTCTGATGTGAAGCTGCTGTTTGCTTAGTTTTAGTCTGATACTCCATCATTTCATCACCTGGTGTGCTGTCTAGTGGACGGCAAATATCAAGTCTGCATTGTGGCTTTCTCCGTCACTGTGGGGGGTCTGTCTGAAGGAGGCTCAATAATGAAAAAGTGAGCTGTGTTTCTACAGAGCTCCTTTCCCTCCCAGCTGATTGTGGTCAGAGAGATTACACTGTGTGGTCTGGACAGATTAGTGTGCTCATTGCATTTAGCAGAAGTGATAAACTGCAGAGTTAAAGCCAGAGCAGTAATTACACAGGCAGTTTTAAAAACACAGTTTCTTCAGAAACAGAGCTCAGTGCTGCCTTACACTGATTTTGGAAGCAGAAAGTCCAAAGAAGCTGGAACTAGAGAGCACTTTAGAAAGTTCTGATCATGCAATAACAAGTTGTCCCTAGAATCCCTTCTTCAAGTGAGACAAAGCAAAGGGGTCTAAAAAAACCAACATTATCAAAAAAGACTACAGACAAAATAAACAGGCTCAGACTATTGTCAGACACTGCAAAAGAGGAGACACAATGTCTACTTGCATGATGCTTTCATATGTCCACGTGGCTCTCCCTGTGACTGGCATGACAAACACAGCAGCAAGGCCTGCCTAGCAGGCATTTCATTGGACGTCAAGGCACCTCACATTTGGGCTTGTGTTTGTTCAAGGGAAAGCATGGCCATGGTGAGGCCTGTCATTCTCCATGACTGTGCTGATACCAGCTTCAGTGACTCCACACAGAAAGGCCCAGACTGAGATTTGAATCCAGGACCTTCTGAGGCGACAGTCAAAGCCACAGCATGGTGCTGCCAAGGCTGTCCTGGCACACACGTCCAATGCAAGAATAATCCTGATTCACATTCACATGATTGTCGTTACGTGTTTCATGAATCCAACTGAGGGATATTTTTGTTCTTTTGATATTTAGGTTTTACACTGAATTTGAGAGAAACATGAAGTAGCAAGAAAACATTTTTCATCCCCTCTGAGATAGTTTTATATCAACAGAAATGATTGTTTTCAAATCCTATCCTATTTCAGGATCTCAGACCTGCTGACTGTGAGCAGCTGGTTTGTACTGACCGACAGGCTCATTAATACTCCACACCGCCTGGTGGCGGTAAGGCACCGACTCGTTATCTGGAAAACCGCCAATTAGGAGGAGGAAGAAGACGAATGACGTTCCACAAACAGCCTGTAGTGGGCAGAAACCCGCCTCCGCTGCGTCCAGACTTCCGCAAAACACCAGAAGAAGAAGAAGAGGAGCCAGAGACAGCAAATACCGCACCTTCGACCAAGGTAAGCGAACAAAGACTAACTAAAGAAACACGGAAATAGAGGAGTAGAGGCCAGTGCGTCGCCCGCTCCCTTTAGCTGATTGTGCCACAGGGTGAACAGGGAGGGCCTCTACCGTCCGCTGGGCCGTTTCTGAACAAACCACTCAAGCTGTTTGAGCAGATAAGTAGCTAGCGCTGACTAGCTAACTTTCACTTAGCTTTTTGCTTCGGACAACTTCGAGCTGTTTCGCTGGTGAGAAGGAAAACCAACATTTTCCGGTGTTGGCTTTCAAAATACTTCTTTTCTGTTTACGAATTGTAGACAAACCCTACTTTTCCATACAAGGACCTTTACTTTGGAGGAAGTGTGGGGTAGGAATTACGCTGTCCCGGGCTGACTTGACGCAGCCAGGAACTTTAATAGCTAACTAGCTAGCTAACTGATGCTAGCAGGTAAAGACGTTTATTTATGAGGCTCCGGGTTAAAACGGAAACTTATAATTCCAACAGGTATTTTACCTGAGGTGATGTTAAATACTTCAGGTGTTGGTTTAAACTGCTCTCCGTCCACACTGCTTCGCTCTGTTGGACGCGGAGGGTTTGCGGTGCTGACGGCGACGTTGCAACCGAAACCAACGACGTGTTGTTGACGTTGGCAGGGCCGGTGTCGGACCAGCCGGACTCATTCCGTTTGTCTTGAATATCCACCAGCCAGGCGGGTCTTTTGGGTTTTTTGTTCAGTCATAACAATCTGTGGGTTTGTGTTATTTACAGTCTGCAGGAAGTAGCTGATTTAATACAACAAAAGTTAATTTAGTGCGAATTAATGAAGGGAGACAGAACACCTGTCTGTGGGTTTGGTCTCATGGTTCAGTCCTGAGCCTGTTTGGACTCCCTGTGTGTCACAGAGGGCTCCAGCAGCAGGAGGTTGCCTCATCGTTTCTTCATAACTGCTGCAGTGTGAACTGGCAGCAGACCGTATTGCTTTCCTTCCTCTTTTTTCTGGGACAGCAAACCTCTGATTTCATTGTTGTTTCTTGCAGCTCTGCGTAGGCTTGTTTACTTCACAGGAACACAAAGGTTTCCCAGTTGAACAGTTTCAGACCTTATAAAGAACCGTGGAGCTAAAATTACATTAAATTTCCAACATATCGTGGCTTTCCTGATTAAATCCACACAAGGAGACATTTACACGCAAAATGATGGAATTTAATTGAATATAAGAAAGTGCAAAAGGTTTTGCTTCTTTTTTTTAACTTTCTGCTCCAAATTGTAATAATGAGTTCTGTGTCAGTTACACTTTGAGGAGTTTTGAAGCTTCAACACGTCCCTGAAAACGTAGCTGTAAACACCAGAAGTTTGACTTTTCAGAGTTTAGATGAAGTTTTATTTTTATTTGTTTCAGTCAGATTTTAGTCAAGAAGCACAAAAGTATGTTCATTTATTCACTCAGTATTTAAACAGTCATGTCAGAGAATGGGTTGATGGGAGTTTTGGCTCTGTGGGCAGGTGCTACGTCTGGACATCTCCATGAAGCTTCTCAGCAGACAGAAGCATGAAGAGCTCTGAAGCCGTCCAGTAGACGCTGACTTTAGATAAAACTCAGTGGTCTAACACCAGCAGATGGCACCACAGATCATCGCAGACCGTAGAAGCTCCACACTGGACTTCAGACATGTTGGATTCTTCACTCATCCACCAGACTGTAGGACCTACAGCAGTGTCTTGATGTCAACAGTCGTAGCTCCTCTCTAGAAGACGTCTGTGTTCAGTGGATCTTGATGTTCTGACACCAGCCTCAGTCCTTGTGAACATCCTCCAACTTCTTGTCTTTTCTTGACAATCCTCTCAAGGCCACAACCATCCCTGGTGCTTGTTCACCTGTTCCTACCACACCTTTGCCTTCCAGTCAGCTTTCCACTGAGATGCTTCATGCAGCTTTCAGCAGAGACCTTCTGTGGAGGCTGTTGATGATCATCTTCTGCTGCCTTCTCCATGATTGTTGCTGCTTGTACTGAACTAGACCAATACATACACGGTATATATACTGTTTTTAAAAAAGAGGCTTTTTGGGCAGATTGTTCTAGTTTTTGTTCTAAATCCACGTTACAGATCACACACACTGTTAACTGTCATGAAAGCGAACATCTGGAGCCCTGATGGAGCACATCTGCGTCCACCAGTCCTCCATGATCCCATCCCAGTTCTTCTCCTCAGTGATGCAGTGTTTTGTCTTGGTTTTGTGTTTCCCTGACTCTCTGCTCAACTTTATCATATTTGTACCTTTCTCAGGCAAAGCATGGCAATGACCGGCCAGAGCTCGTGCTCCTCCATGAGTAACCACACCAAGGAGCGGGTCACAATGGCCAAAGTGACCTTGGAGAACTTCTACAGTAACCTCATCGCGCAGCACGAGGAGAGGGAGATGAGGTAACGTCCACCCAGCCCTCCACACTGCTCCCTGCTTTGATTATTATTCAGCTGTAAAGCATTTTCAGGATGTAACTCACAGTGAAAGATGCTGAAGGTTTGTGAATAAACTGGTGCACACAGAAACCTTTTTTTCCTCATGTTTGATCGTTATTTAATTAGATTTGTCCCCATATAATCAGACAAACCTTCATATGAAGTAAGACTCTGAGAGAATACATCTGACTGAAGCAACACCTTCTGTCTGTAGTTTCCTCTTTTCTCACTGTTCCAACTTGCAGCTCGACTGTTTGCTGTGCTGCTGTCACATGACTGGTGTTTGCAGGTCTAACACACACCTCCTGCTGACTGGGGTCTTGTTAGGGGCTTTTGAGCAACACATGTGCACCGTGAGACAGAATAATGAAGCATACTGGTGCTTCTAACATGATGTGTGCACCTGTAGGGGCATCAGTAGTGCACAGGGCTGGTCCTGGGTCTTCAGAGGTTCTACCTGTTGCCAACCTAACTCATGTACTGGGATGTGTTCGTAGCACTTTGGCTGTAAACAACGAAGAACAGTTTTAATGGTCATTATGTCTTTAGGCAACAAAAACTGGAGAAGGTGATGGATCAGGAGGGCTTGGCTGATGAAGAGGTGAGCAGCACACACACACACACGTGCACTGTTGAAGAACTGAGTCTGTGGCACAGTGTTGGTTGGATTTCAGGATGTGAGGGAACATTGCTGCAACGTTTGTGAGGTTTATTTGTTCTGAGTGAACAGTCAGCAGCTCTGATCGTCTTCACTGCTGTTCAGAGCTTCTAACACTGTCATGAGTTATTGTTAATCTGAATGACTGCTGATCGTGGTTTTTAGTTATCGATGTAGAAATAAGCGCTTGAACAACGTTAAATAGCCAGTCAGCGTACTGAAACGTTCTCTCTGTGCTGTGAAGAAACGTATCCGCCGATCGGAGCACGCCAGGAAGGAGACGGAGTTTCTACGCCTGAAGCGCACTCGACTGGGTCTGGAAGACTTTGAGTCCCTGAAGGTGATTGGCCGAGGAGCTTTTGGAGAGGTAAAGGCTTTGACATGAATATGGGAGCACAGTTCATGTGTGCTGGGTTTGGGTTAGCTGAATATCAACCAAACATTAGAATCAACCTCCTCAGCATAGGAACACCTGAGACAGAGCGACTCAGTGGTTTTATCTGTGGTTAGAGAGGTGTGCCTGTACGTCTGCTCATCTGAACCGTCTGTGGTGAAACCCTCAGTGTGTGTAGCTGAAACACACCTGATCTGATAGGACGACAGATGGCTGCGGTTATTTTCATGAACACTGTTGTGCCTCTAGGTCCGCCTGGTGCAGAAGAAGGACACTGGTCATGTCTATGCCATGAAAATCCTCAGAAAAGCTGACATGCTGGAGAAAGAACAGGTGAAGAAGCTGCTTTCACATCACACACACGTTTGTTCTTGCATCTGTTGGACGTGTTTGAACCCACGTGTCCCGGTCTGTCTTCAGGTTGGTCATATCCGTGCTGAGAGGGACATCCTGGTGGAGGCAGACAGCCTGTGGGTGGTCAAAATGTTCTACAGCTTCCAGGATAAGATGAACCTCTACCTCATTATGGAGTTCCTGCCTGGAGGTATGACCCTCTGCTCTGTGGTGCTGCTGGGAGCACAAACCAGCTTAAATGGACTTCACTAGTACCTGATGGCTCTTGTAGGCTGTAAAGTTCCAAGCCCTGTGAAACTAGAAGGAGTGATGTCTCATATTAAGCACCGGCAGAGTACTGTCTTGTTTAGTGAATGAAATGAGCCTGAACTTGGTCCTCCTCAAAGTTTCTGACCCGCCAGAAAGGTGCTGTGGTGCAGCCGGCTCTGCTAACTGGTGGTGTGCCTGTTGCTTGTGTTGCAGGGGACATGATGACCCTGCTGATGAAGAAGGACACTCTGACAGAAGAGGCCACTCAGTTCTATATTGCAGAGACGGTGCTGGCCATCGACTCCATCCACCAGCTGGGCTTCATCCACAGAGACATCAAACCAGACAACCTGTTGCTGGACTCCAGGGTGAGCGGGGCTCAAGCCCGCTTTAGTTTTTGCGTTACTTATTTATCGTGTTGAGAAAACCAGGTTTAGGCTTCAGCACCCAGTTCTGGTGGCATTGTTATGAGTTCTGAGTGTTTTCTGTGTTATTTTACTAACTGAATAATTAATTGAAAAACTGTCAGTCCTGAGACGAACCCTGGAGCTGCCACAGCCCCGGTTTGCTGTCTACACAGGTGAGTTTGAGCTGCTTTGCAGACATCCCACCTGCAACAGAAGCATTTTAGTTTCAGCAGATTCAGAGAAAAGTCATCACTTTCTTGGATCAGAACCATGGAAACCCGCCACTGTAGCTTCACTTTGGTGAAGTAACCGATCAGCATTTATGAGCTTGAAGGCTGACGTGGTCGGCTCTTCTTCTCTGGCCGTTGTCTGAAGAACAGAACCGAGCTCTGCACGGTGCCGTGTTTCAGGTGTTCTTCATGTAGACGATGTGCTGAGATGTCCTGATGTTGTTTAAACCTGCTGCACTTTCAGTTTGTACAATCGTGTGTTCTGTGTCTCTAGGGTCACGTGAAGCTGTCTGACTTTGGTCTGTGCACTGGGCTGAAGAGGGCCCATCGTACCGAGTTCTACAAGAACCTGAACCACAGCCTGCCCAGTGACCTCAGTAAGCAAAGTCAGGCAACCCCATCTATTTACTACATTACATCTTTACATGTGTAGCTTGCATGCGGCTTCAGCCACTGATATTTGCTCATGTTTGATCACTTTATTTAGCCACCACTCTTATATTCACAGTAGTGAGCGGCCACAGTGACTCCTGTTCACCTGCAGGAGTACGTCTATGCTGCTCAGACCAGCCTCTCCCAGACCGGCCAGGCTTCTGCTAGCCTGACCTCAGTCTAGCATGTCAGTCTTGTGTCTGAATCAGCACCGTGGTGAACATCCTCCTCCTCAGTGCTGCTCTTTGTTCACACTGAGGATGAGAGAAGCAGATGGCTTGCCGGGCTGTAGGAGTCCGATGCTGCTGCATGGTGCTGCTACACTCTGAGAGGCTGGATGTGGTACATGCAGCAGCTCTTAGTGTGTCTCAGTAGTGACAGCGGTTGGATGAAGCAGCAGTGTTACGTATTCCATGTCTGGAAAGAGCTTTGTTGTCACTCAGTCGTGTCACAGCTTCTAATGCGACGTCCTCTGTGCAGCTTTCCAGAACATGAACTCCAAGAGGAAAGCCGAGACCTGGAAGAGGAACAGGAGGCAGCTGGTAGGTCCAGTGTCTGGTTCCACTCTGACAGCACTGCACTGACTTTGTGTTCACACTGTTGGATGTGATGTGAGGAGCATATAAACACATACACAGGTTAAAGGCAACGGCGGTCCAAATGCTTTGCTCAGAAACCAGTCAGACCTCAAGACTCTTTGTTTGGACTAAAACCTGGCATTAAGTGTCCAGATGGACGCTTGACTCTTGATGTTTTCTTAAAAAAAGAACATTTGGAAGTAATTCTTGAATTAATTACATCTTTTTGTCATTTCCGGCTGCACAAAGCAGCACTCTGGTGTCGCTGGTTCTGAGTATTTTGCTTCTTTTGTTAAATGGAAACCAGTCGATACACGTTTTAATACAGTGAATAGGGTTCCTGTCTTACATCCATGTAGGTCCATCTTTTAACTCATAAACATGTTTCTAATAAGTTTTCAAACAACGTAAACCTCAGTGGACATCAGTAAATGTTGTTGGCACTGGAGGGCAGAGCTCTAACTGTTCCACCCTATTCATCATGAGCTGCTTGATCCAAATGAGAAGTTCTGACTCTAAACTATGACATCCTTAAGACCAATATATAAATGCAATTTAAGGTGAAGTCAGATGGAGAGAAACTGATTGAATGTGCTCAGCATCCATCAGGTGTTTCACACCAACACGCTGACGAACATAAAGCTCGTTTACATTCTGGACTTACCTTCTGTATGTAAATGTTGCTTAGACGACTGCTAATTAGCGCTCTGTCGCTCCGTCTTCCCTCTCTGTCAGGCCTTCTCCACCGTGGGAACCCCGGACTACATCGCCCCGGAGGTCTTCATGCAGAACGGCTACAACAAGCTGTGTGACTGGTGGAGCCTGGGCGTCATCATGTATGAGATGTTGATAGGTAATGGAACCAGAAGCTCCGTGGAACACCGTCTGTGCTTTGAGTGGCTTCAGTGCTGTATCAGTGAAACGTGGTGTTTTGCTGTTGCAGGCTACCCTCCGTTCTGCTCAGAGACGCCTCAGGAGACGTACAGGAAGGTGATGAACTGGCGAGAGACGCTCACCTTTCCTCCAGAAGTGCCTATATCGGAGAAGGCCAAAGACCTCATCCTCAGGCAGGAACACACCTCTGCTCTCCTTCATCAGTCTCACTAGTAGTCAGTGGTTTAGGTGATGCTGATGTTGTCCATAGAGCTGTGTATGCATGATGCTCAGTGAACATGTCGTGTGCAGGTTCTGCTGTGAGGAGGAGCACAGGATCGGTGCTGTAGGCGTGGAGGACATCAAGTCCAATTCTTTCTTTGAGGGGGTGGACTACGATCATATCAGGTGGGAATGATTAGAATGCATCCGTGTTAATAAATTGGTATAACGTGACTAATTTGGAGGCTGCAGGTGGATCGGTGGTTAGTACCGTGGCCTCGCAGCTAGAAGGTCGCCGGTTGGCGTCCCGGTGAGGACCTCAGCTGCATCCTGTCCACCTGGCTGCTCCGTGGTGCCCTCTGGAGATGTCGACCTTCAGTAACCTAACTCCTTCACTCCTCCGGTTTGTGTTCCAGAGAAAGACCTGCTGCCATTCCCATAAATATCAAAAGCATCGACGACACTTCAAACTTTGATGAATTCCCTGATTCAGACATCCTCACGCCAACAAGTACGCCTCCCTTTACGCTTTCACACTCTTCATAGCTTGTGCCTCTGTTGTTCTGTCTGACGTGATTGAACCCGTTTACCGTTCTTCCCCAGCCACCCAGGTGTCCAATCAGACCGAAGCCGATCTGAAGAACAAGGACTGGGTCTTCATCAACTACACCTACAAACGCTTTGAGGGCCTGACTGCTCGAGGAGCCATACCGTCCTACATGAAGTCAGGGAAGAGATGAGCACGGTCAGACGGGCTCCTACCAACACCCCTATGAACCCTGAATGAGTTGTCCAACCGCCTGCTACGTGAGGAGCTTCAGCCCTGAAAGGAGAACTGTGACTCTGCTCTTTGTTACCGGAGCGACGAGGAGTTCTTGTCTTACAGGCCTCTGCAAATAATAAAGGGCCTTGTTGTCATCCCTTGCTTTCCATAGGAGACTCACCATAGGAGCTGCTGTCTTCGTTTCTGCAGGTCTTCACTTCGATGCTTCCGAGGGTACCTATCTTCTTCCTGCTCACACAATAAGACTGAAACGGGGTGAAAGTCTTTCTATCCACTTGTTTTTTGCACCAGTGGATGCGGTTGGATGTCTCGACTCCTGATACCAGCATCATTTACATTCCCTCTCTGTAGACCAGCACCATCCTGTCAGACCTACCAAGGGCTCTTCACTCCTTCCACCGTTTTTACGTTGACTCATCAACTCAAACTTTGCATTAAGTCGTTACTTGAAGTGAATCAGGTGCTCTTCAGGGATGCTGTCCAAATGTTTCTTGTTGTTTCCGACAAGCTCTCGCTCTGAGGCTTCTCTCCAGTGCTGCTGGCTTCCTCCGGTGACCTAACCAAAGACTGTGAGCTGAATGACGCTTCTGCTTGATCTGTCTCGTCACTTCCTGTAACTTAGAGTTGTACTTTTATAGATTTGAGATTTGCAAATTCTGCTTGTTGAAAAGTGTGAATATATGAGAATTATGCTATGCTCTGCTTTTTTTTTATAGAACGAACACAAGAGTCTTGTTACAGTTTGAGGATGATCCATTTATGTTCAAACACCGACGTGATGAACCTCCGGCCCGGTCCGGCCTCCAGCCCTTAGACTGTGTGTGTGGACTGGGAGTGTGAGTTTAAAGCCACCAGTCCCTCATCAGCGTCGACCTTTTATTGTACGGCTGCACTAACAGCTTTTAAACTATCAGTTCATATGTCTGGTATTTTCACAGTTGATCCAAGGCGACACTCTCGTGTCTTCTTTCTCCAAACAGTCTGAAACTTACTGAAAATATTATATGTAGACGAATATCATCACAGCTGAAGGCGCTGAACCAGCAAATGTTTAAAGATAGCCTGAAATGATTGTGTGCTGTTACGATGGTTGCATTTTTCTGTCTTTTGCTGCAGCTTGTTCGTGTCTACGGTCGTAATGTCTGGCTGCAGTTAAGGGCTTTTAATTATGAATTGATCTGCCAACTATTAGCAAAACATCAGAAGATCTGGTTTAAGACGAGGCGATGTTTAGCGTGTCCACACGTCAGCGTGTCACTCAGACCACGGATTGTGCCAACTAGCTTAGCGTGGTGTAACGTAGCAGAAAACATGGAATATGAATGGCAGTGAACCCGGTTTAGTGGTTCTGTTACTGATCCAGATGGAAAAAACCCAACTAGCCTGTACCTAGTGATGGCTTCACATGGTGGGTTAGCTGTGGCCCAGTTCTGTTGGTTTCCTGTTCAGTCACCACCGCAGCCACAACACAGCGGCGTGCTGACCGTCTGAGGAATGTTCCTTCGTCTGAGAGGTTTTCATCTGTACCAGCGGTTGGTTGGAGGGGATGGAGGGTTTTCTAGCGTCGCTACGTTAGGCTGTCGTCTGAATGTGTGTGATCATGATTATTTTAGAGACACTTGGCGTGTTGGCTCCACAGCGCCACAGACCTGGTGGTGGAGTCGTACAAGCACAGGGCTCAAGGTTTTCCAGTGAACACAATATCCAAATGCTGTCATTTAAAATGAATGTAAATGAAGTTTTATGGAGAATTTCTTTTCTTTCTTTTCTTTCTGAGGGGCTGTGTATTGTGTTGTTTTGTTTTTTTGCCACAGTAGTTTTAAATGCTGCTTGTGTGAATGAAGCCTGGACCGGACATGGTTTTCTTTTTTTATTTGTCGTGACGGGTAAGGTATGCTGTAACCATGGAAACCCATTTCTGCTGTAAACAACAACAAAAGAGAAACAAAGGGAACGGGAACGAGTCAGAGCCATGAGCGGGGTTTAGCGGTGGCTTAGGGTTTAGGTGCTAATTTAATATTTTTTCAATTAGAAATGGGGATTTTATCTAAAGTTTGGAAAAATCGTGACAGTTTTTAAGTTAAACTAAAAGTCATCAGTACGTCGCCATGCTTGTGTTGAGACGTACTTTATGAATCAAACCTTTGACATTTTCAGATGTGGTTAGGGTTAAAATGATGACAGCAGAGATGGCCTTCCATGCCGACAGCGAGGACCTTCTGTCTGGACCGTAGTGTCTGCAGGTAGTGTGTAGATGAAGCACAGCACATTGTACCACTTTTTAGAAAAACACAAACATGCAGTGGAGCTTTTTTCTATGGCAGGGGTCAATTTTTTTACACAAACTGTCTGTTGCTGGGATGCTCCTGCCCTGCATGCTTTAACCAAACAGCAGTCGCTGCAGCAGCAGAGCACATGGAGCGCCTCTTCTAGTGATGCTGCCACCTGTGGCAGAGTGTGTGTGTATGTGTGTGTTTCACATGATGTAATCAGAAACAGCGATGCAGCGTCGGATGAAGGCCTGCGTGCTGTTTTCTGCAGGTGGCGCTCAGATCTGTGCTCTGCTCCTGTCATCATGGACCACGTAGGTCTGAGTTAGGGTGTGGGGAAGGTGGGTGTACATTATTTAAACCACTGTTCTCTGTGTAGCGTGTGGCTGTTGTATTGTTTTCTGCTATTTGACAATGAATTACTCTGCACTTACTGTGTCGTGTCCTCACTCGCAGCGTTTGTTGGTGTTCATCAGGACTGAGATGCTCAGTCTGCAGCTCAGGGGAGGGTCGACATGGTCACACTGAGGATGGGGCTCCATGAAGCTTGATGAGATGTCAGGAATGTCCAGCGTTCAGCTGTTTACCATCATTGTTTCTGCTGTTGCTCATAGGTCACGCTAACATCTCACTCTACACATTTCTAGTAGAGATTCAGGAAAACAGCCATCATCTCTACACCTTAATCCTCACCAGGGTCATGGGGGGCGGAGTCTATCCCAGCTGACTCAGGGTGAAGGCAGGTTCACCTGGACAGGTAACCAGTCTATCCCAGCTGACTCAGGGTCTACTTTTTCTTGATAGTGTCACAAATGACACAAAGACTAAAGCTTATGCATCCCAGCAGGCTTACAGTGGTGAGCCTGCAGTTGGAGAGCCCCCTAAACCAGGGCTCTCAAACTGAACTTACCTGGGCGCCGCTGGAGGTGGAGTCTGGACGAGGCTGGGCCGCATCAGGTGTTCCACAAAGAAGTACACCTGATCCAATCTGCTCAATCAGGGGTCTCAAACTGGCGGCCCGCGGGCCAGGTGATGTTTAGTGGCCCCTACTTGACAGAGTTTAGCGTGAGTGCAGCCCACGGGTTCTTCTCACACACATCTACACAGTCGCTGCTCTGGCGTTTCATGTTTTCATCACTGTGGGCTGCCGTAGCTCAGCTCGTGACAGCAACATGAATCACTGGAACACTGGTCACTGGAAACGTGCTCTGGGAGCTTCACCGAGTGGAGGGAACACACATCCTGTCACCCAGAGCAAATGGGTTCTGTGTGAGAAGCTCTTCTCCACCAGGAGCTCTAATCAGTCAGAGTGCAGGTCCAGACTTACTGATGAGCATCTTCAGGCCACACTGAGGGTCTCAGCTGCTTCCTCCATCAAGCCAGATGTAGCTCAGCTGTGTAAGAGGAAGGAGTAGGTCGGAGAAGCCTGTGTTCTGGAGAACCGTCCATGTTCTGAGTTGTTATTAATGAAGATTGAGAAGATTGGATCAGTTGTACTTTTTTAGTACTTGAACCTCTTCTTTGTGGATCACGTGATGCCCACCCAGACTCTACCTCCAGCGGCCTCCAGGTAAGTGGAGTTTGAGAGCCCTGATCTAAAGCCGCCTCCTGAACCTTAACCGGCCCGGTCTTGTTCTAGGTCTTACAGTTTATGGCCCAAAACCACAGATAACAGATACATGTCTGGATGGTGTCCCACTTTATTAACTCTGGTAACATTTACATATTCATTAGTGTTTACATGATCTGACTGATACAATCCAAAATTTAATTCTCAATCAAAAACTTCTCTTAATGAGAGGCAATTAATCAAAACAACATCAACAGGAACCCGTGTAGGTCGGGTGTGAGTTCAGGGTGACTGCTGGACGCCGATCCAGCGGCGCTGAGCGTCAGTGTGGCAGCACCTGGTTCTGGTTCTACCTGTAGTTCATCAGGTACACCAGTCTGTGAGGCTGGAACTTCTCCCGACACAGCGGGCACTCCGCCTGTCAGGACGACACACAAACACATCGCTATGACACATGAGCAGGCAAAGGGTCAGGCACAGAGAATGAAGGCACTCTGGATCACTTCTTCTAACCACCAGCGTTCCCACATGAAGGCTCGCTGGGATCCAGATGTTTAGCAGATTGTTCTGGGAGCAAAGCAACACATCTTCTTCTCTCCTGGTCCTCATCAAGAATAAAGAAGAATAAAGATTGACTGAAAACCTCTGGGCTAGCTTGTGATCATGGAGGACAGGTTCTAGTTAGCTGATGTTCAGATTCAACAGGCCTGCAGGGATCAGACCAGGGTGATGCTGGTGGAACCCAACCCACATGAATGTCGTCATTTACTGGTAGCTAAGGAGGCGATGACGTCGTCCAAACAGAGCGAGGTGGGGCTGGACAGCATTTCACCTTCAGTGAATAAAATCATTATTTAAAAACTGCATTTAGTCTTTGTCTCATAATAAAATGAGTTTGAAGATCTGAAACATTTGCACGTCACAAATATGTAAAAATAGACGAGATCTGCTTGAAGCTTTTATCGGTGGTGGTTAGAAGAACGGAGATGAGCATCGTCCACAGCCGACCCAGTGTTTAAGGTCACTGCTGCGGTTCTGGAGGCGGGTAACAGATCACAGATATTCCCTCCAAAGGAAACTATCGTCCTGTTTTCTCAGGTCTGAATTAGAATCCCTGGTCCGGCCTCCTGGACTCCAACCAGAACAGAGATTCTGATCTACGTCACAGCCGACCTGCAGCTCGTCATTTACTTCAGTTCACAGCAGCCTTTCATCTGTAATGTAATGTCGTCTTCTAGCTGCTACTACCAACAGACAAGCCGAAGCATCACTGATGGTGTTGCTGTCAGCTCATGGGGAACCAGTGGTTCTCATCCAGTCCAGTTCTGCCAGATGTCTGTCCTGTGTGTGCTCTACACAGAACCCCGGGCTCCCTCAGCTTCTGAAATACTTGAGTCTGATTGCTGAAATGAATAACTAACATTCGTAGTGTGGACGTGAGCCTGACCTTGGTGTTGCACCACTCGGTGATGCACTCCCAGCAGAACAGGTGTCCACATGGGGTGGAGGTGGTGTGTCTCCTCTCCTCCAGGCACAGGATGCAGCGAGCAGCTCTGGGGCTGGAGCTCTGAGAGTGCTGAGGACTGCAGACAGACAGTTCAGAGTCAGTACCAGTACCAGTACCAAGCCAGGTGTTACACGGGCCTGGTTTCTAGAGATGATCAGTGATGAATGGAAGTCATCCTGATATTCGTTTGTGTTCAGCTGCTGGCAGAACAGGAGGAGCTTTCAGAACCTGTGCAGGCTGCTGGAATCACAATCAGCTGTTTTCACCTAACATCCTGTATGGACATGAAGAAATGTGCAGACGGGGTCCAAGCGGACGGCCTACACGGTTCTGGTGCTGGCCCTGTACCTGAGGGTCCGGTAGAGCTTCCACTCCTGCCGGGCTCTCTGTCTCTGCTTGAAGTTGTTGAGTTGCAGGCAGACGGTGATGAGCAGCTGGAGGATGGACACGACCCCCAGCAGCCTGTAGCTGCTCCTGATGGAGGCGTCGGCACCGCTCAGCGCCAGCACACGCACCTACACACACACACACACACACACACACACACACACAGAGACACAGAGACAGACACACACACACAAACACACACAGAGACACACACACACACACACACACACACACACACAGAGACAGACACACACACACACACACAGAGGACAGTAGTGTAAATATAACCATTCCTCTCAGCTGAAACGTGCTGCTTCATCTTTCTACTGTTTCATGTCCAGGTTCTTGCTCTTAATGACGTTGTCCTAATGAGCCTTCACTGACTGTTCAGACGGTTTAAAGCTCAAGCTGAAGGCACTTTGGTGTCACTACATAACCTTCTCCACCGTCTACGGATCAGTGAGCTTCGTTCCAGGTCGTCAGTCTGTGGGTTGGAGGATCTCATGGTTGCTGAGTGGCACTAGATGTGAAGACCTGGAGAATTTATCAGCTTCAGAAATGTCCTCAGCTGACAACTGCTCACCTTGACCAGACCAAGTCCTTTCAAGTTCAAACCTCTACTAGTAGCAGAAGGCCGCCCCAGCCTTTCCAAATGCCACCATCCAGCACTGTTTTCCATTTTATCAGCTCATGTTTGAGGTCATTAGAGGAAGGCTTTGGCTTTATTCTGGTAGATTCATGGTAGCAGCTTGAGGACGTTCCACCTTCACTCAAGAGGCTTCATCAGCTCTGACTGACTAGCTGGGAGCTCCACATACTGACATCCTGAAGGAGACGTCAACACCTGAGTTTGGGTTTCAACTCCTCCTTCGGGATATAAGATGCTACGATTAATGTAGAAGAACAACCATGACCTGGAGGACTGAGGATCTTCACAGACGGTTTGGCTTTACTTCATCTAGAAGTCATTTCCAGACCTGTACAATCCTCTGCGCAGCACTGGAACACAAACAGCGCTGTTCTGTCATGAAACCACTCACGTAGCTGATGCCGGCCGCCCTCTTGGACAGGTGATAGAAGGAGCCGCTGATGTAGAACAGAGCCACGTGGAGCCGGTGCAGGAGGGCCAGACCCTGCTGGACAACAAACACAGCTGGCAGACACGCCCTCCTCTGGGGCTCCGACAGCAGCCCCACGGCCCGGCCCACCCGCCCCCTCAGCCAGGCCTCCAGGCTCCACAGCCCGGACGCTGGCTGTCGCCGGCGGACACTGCGGTGACCCTCCTGAGCGGCCTCCAGCTCGTTTTCCAGGCACACCAGGAGCTTGTCCAGGAGATAAGGAAAGAGGGCATGGCAGAGGATGAAGAGGCCTCGTCTGGCCCGAGACGGGATCTGCTGTTTAGTGGGGTCCACCTGGATAATGCCCACGTACTCTTCACCCAGAGTCTGATAACCTGGAGAGCAGAACGACACACTTTAATAACACAGAAGTGAGCTGCAGGAACTCGTGTCAGGTTCCAGCTTGGTTTGCACTGCAACTACCTGAGAACGTTGTCAAGCCGTTGTAGGCGAGATCTGCCAGCAGCTCGATCTCTCTCCTCCAGTCCAGCCATCGTCTGGACCCTACAGAGACAGAGACACGCCCAGTGCTGAGCTTCACACACACATGGTCCAGGTCTGATCAGAGCTTCATTAGCTTCTGTTTCCATGACGACTAGCTCCTCACCTGTTGCTTCAAATGCAACGTAACCAGACTGTATGTTGAAGTGACGAACAGCTACAGTAAACATGTGAGCCGGCTAACGGCGACACCGGACCTGCAGCACCG